CTCCATGTGTCAGTATATAATGCCTGCATCAGTAACTTTCACTCTATGCATCCGAAGAAGTGAGGTTTTTACTCACGAAAGCTTATGCCCAAATAAATCTGTTAGTCTTTAAGGTGCCACCAGACTCCTTGTTGTTTTTATGCTCAATGTCGTGTTAAGATCTCTGCAGTCACAGATAATAACGGTCTTCTTGGGGAATCAGGGCACAGTATCCAGTCTGCCAGACAGACAGACAGACACACACACACACACGCACCCCCACTTGAACAAAAACTGATTTTTGAAAAAACTTGCATAGAGCAGTAAATGGCAGTGTGAGACACACCTATATCCCTGGTGACAAGTTTCAGGCAACTCCCTTATCCTCATCCACACCCAGCTCATCAGTTAGACCAATTCTAGTAGTGAAACTTGGATTGATATCCAAAATACTGAAGCAGACAAATTTCATTGTCAGCATCCTGAAGGAACACCAGCCATAGTTAGAAGTGATCAGCTCCGATTGTCTAGCCTAAAGAAATTCCTTGAGTCATCAGTTTACCCATAAACAAATCTAGTCTCCTCCCTTCAAGCAATTGTATATTTTCTCTATAAAACCATATACTGACTCTCCAGTAACATTTCTGATGCATGCATAGACCCAAATTCTGCCTGAGTTCCACTGGGGTTTCATCTACTCCAAGACTCTGAGCTACGATCATCAGCTGGGAAGCCTCACGAGTTCAAGCTTCCTGGAGTGATGAGATCCCTCATTTTCCCTCTCTGTTTCCTTTTCTACCTCAGGTATTAACCTTTAATAATGTAACTTATTTTGTTTAGGCTCTCCTTTGAGTAGTTATCACTATTAGTCCATAAATAACTTTATTCTTGTGTTTGTATCTTCCACATTTATTCTGCAGCAACGCTTCTTTTTCCTAAGCTACAGACCCCTGTAGCGCCCAAAAATACTCTGGGGTTTGCTCATCAAGTGGGTTACTACCAGTACAATTGTGATGTAAGAGTGGGGATAGGGACATGCTAAATCTGGGAAAAATAAGGGTGTCAGCTTGAAAGTGCTGTTTGACTCATTCCATTGGGAACAATAGCAGTACATTGATAGAATTACATAACCACCCTCCCTCCAGGAGAGTAACCCTAATAAATGAGTGTACCCCAAAGTATTGTGCAAAGTTGGTCACAAATTGTTGAACAAACGCAGGCAGCATGTGACCCTAATCACATGTTAATTGTTGAGTAGTTGCTGTGGCGTAGGGAAACTGAGGCACAGACCTGAGCAAGCTCTCTTTTTCAGACCAAGCTCCTTTAGCAAGGTCTCTCTCTCTCTCTCTGTCTCTCATAGAATATTTGTTAACCTTCTGCTAAGAATCTTGCTTAGATACCTGTAGAACGGTGCAATAAGGAGTTAAGAGTTGTGCCTTAAAAATAAAGGTTTTACAGCAATACTGTTAGTAGTGAAAGAGGGGTGCTTTACAACAGCTTTATACACAAGCAGTACATTAGTAGAATTATCGGGGGAGGGGAACCCAAACTAGTAACCCCAATAAATAAGCTTACCCCAAGTAATGGTCAAATCTGGTAAAAGTACACAAATAGTAATGGTCTTCCTGGCTAAGTGCATGTTTAATCAAGAATCTTTAAAATAACTGTATAGTCATTTCTTAAATGGTTTGCATGCCTTTAATCATGGTGATTTATTTATTGCTCCCCATTTCTCTATTGTTTATCTGTGTGGTCTGTGTCTGGTTTTTTTATTTTCTTTGGTGAATGTATAAGTAATTTTGCTGGGTGTAAAACAATTAAGGCGGTGGGATCTAATTTGTTAGATAATGGATTAACATTATGTTAGCATTGATTAGTTAAATTACAGTAAAATGATTGATTAAAGGCATAGCTGAGAATGAGGTGATACTGATATGTGTATGTTATAGGTGTTTCTCTATTTCAGATTCTTCAGAGTTTCAGAAAACGATTTTCTCCCAAAAAGTTGCACCAACCAAAAAATTACCTCTACAACACACATAATGGCAAGTAAGTAGAATGTTTCCATGTGTTCCCATGGGGGAGGGATAGCTCAGTGGTTTGAGCATTGGTCTGCTAAACTCAGGGTTGTGAGCACAATCCTTAAGGGGGCCATTTAGGGATCAGAGCAAAAAAAAGCAAGGGGGGGGGGGAAACTGTCAGGGACAGTACTTGGTCCTGCTAGTGAAGGCAGGGGACAGTACTCAATGACCTCTCAAGGTCCCTTCCAGTTTTATGAGATAGGTATGTCCCCATATATTATTAATTATTCATTTGTTTTCAGAACCCATTATTTTCAAGCAACTGTGCTTGTGTTTTATTTTTTGATTGACATTTTTGTGCTGTTCCATTTACTGTCCTGAGTCACTATGTCTATACATGGTTACAATCTTGTAGGTGATATCCTTATCTCTGATAACATTCAATCTGCATTGAGCGAATACAGCTGTAATTTGCAAGCCACAAATACTTCAAAATTATGCACATTCCTGCAATTTATTTATGTCTGTCTTGTGACTGGCCTATGAATGATGCATTGTTGATTTAGGTTTACCCTGCTTATAGGTCTGCAATGTACATCTCATAGCTTCTAACTCAACTTTGAGTCTTATATGGATTGATATGCCATGTTTGCACTTAAGTATCTGTTTTCTCTTGTAAACAATTCTCAGGGAAATCTTTTGACAAAAAAATTGCAAATGTTTTGGCATACCTAAGGAGTGGCACATATCCTGAAGGAATGAATAAAGCAGGCAGACAGAACCTGCATCGATATGCTGTCAACTTTTCTTTGGAAGGCAAGGAATACTTTTCTTAAGATAATACTGACACATTACACAGGAAACTTCAGCCTGTAAATGATGGTCCTGATGTCCCAACATTGGGATTATTTGGAGTGTTAACCTTACCTTCAATGGGACCGGGATTGGGATCTCTAGTTTTATTAAAATTTTCCAGAAAATCTCCTTTTTTGCTATCTATGCCAGTGGTGCAACAAACGCAGTGTGCTTTGCAGTTATATGAGAAATGAGTATAAATTTTACAAAAAAAACCCATGACTTTGCTTCATTTCTTAAGTATGTTATCCAGTCTGCTGCAAGCACCACCAACAATCACTATATGTTCAATAAGCAAAAATTTCTAACTATACACTGAAATGTCCCCCATGTACTCAAGACATTATGAACCATACTGTATATAGATGTCTTTGATAGGCATATGCCTTATAATTAATGAATGGCTTTGCAAATAACCAGCTATAGCTTAAGTGCAACACGTTGCCCCCACCCCAGCCCTGGCAGAAGCCATGGGGCAGCAGGGGAAGCCCCTATGCCCGAACCCGTCTCCAGCAGAAGTGTCTGGTGGGGCAGGAGAATCCACAGCACCCTGCTCCTGGTCCCCTAAAGAACCGCAGCATCCAAACTGCCGCTGCAGCCCTGGGACTGGAGGAGCTGTCACTCCCTGGTACAGCCCTGGGGCCGTGACATAGGGACAGAGCTTCTCCAGTCCTGGGGCTGTGTGGAAGAGCAGGGTGGGTGGGAAATGAGCAAAGGAGTTGTGGGGCAGGCAAAATAGTGGGGAGCCTAGGTGGAACATGGCTGAGATCCTGGGGAAGAGGAAGAAAGGGATAGGACCATATGTGGTGCAGCCGGCGGACAGGGTAGGTAGGGGCCCAACAATTGCCCCGATAAACCTTAATCATCCTCCATGCATTTTCTACGATCATCAGAGGGGACATTGTTCCATTGAGCAAAAGGAAGAAAGGTTGTCGTTGTGCATACCATGAAAGAAGCCCTGCAACTCTTTGAAAGGGATCATGACAGTCTATTGGGTGGACACCTAGGAATATTCAAAACTAGGAATATGCTGACATCAAAATGCTATTGGCCAGGGATGACAAAAGACATTGCCAATTGGGTATGTAAAGTAATGAAACTAAATCCTGAAGAATGCTATTTACAATTGAAATAGAAGTTCAAAATGTATAAAAGAAATATAAAAGTATATTTGGTGTGCAAATGTGAACTCTGTTCCCTTGCAATACTATTTCCATAACTAAATGTTCATGTCATCATATTGTTCCATCAAAAACAGGTTGCATGATGTCTGACTTGCCAAAAAGAGGGAAAGGAATTAAATATGGATACCACCTTGAGAAGCATAGAGGTGAATTTTGGCATCAGACACATTATTGTTTATCATTATCCACTGGTATTTCTGCAATACAATGAGGCTTTGATTTTGAAACGAGTCCAATGCATACAAGTGGCACAGCATAGTGCAGCAATGACCTCTAATGTGCCTTTGCACTGGCTGGGGATATGTCTTCATCTTTACTCTTGTATTGTTTTCCATAATCCATTCCTGTACTTCTTTTTGTTTGGTTTTTCTTTCTTTCTTTCTCTTCTGTATTTAAAAGTGGGCTTTCATTCTGATTCTATGGCTGTTGTAACCATATTACATTGTGTACTCTGTTTATGACATGGGTTTATTGAGAACATTTAGTAATAAACATGTGTAATATGACTGTAACTGGTACCCTTGTATGTAGGTCACTCGGATCTGGGAATTGGTGGGAATGGATTTAATAGGACCATTACCAGTAAAAAAGGATGGATACCAGTATATACTGACAGTCATAGATTATCTTTCAAGATGGGTGGAAGCCTTTCCATTTAGAAGTAAGTCAGCATCTGAGGTGGTAGAGAACATGTGCACAATGATTGTTAGACATGGATGCCCAGAGCGGATACTGACATTTTTTTATATAAACTGCTGTTGGTCAACGTCAGTGTTGCTATAAAATTATTTTTTGGTGTCTTCATATCTAACAAAGAAACGCACAACTACTTGTTTCCAAAACAAATATGAAAAGATGGGCTATTCCTGTTGCTAATTACACATAAAAGTAGTGGCAAATACAAAAGGAACATTCCTTAACACAAGTCTATATGTAAGTTTATGGTGTAATTTATTTTCTTTCAGTTTAACCTGTATGTTTGTGAAAGATTGAGAATAGAACATAGCTTCACCAGCCCATACCACCCATAAACCAATGGCTTGGCTGAAAACGCTAATAAATCCATAAAAAGGTAAGTGAATGGGTGGGAATATTACAGTACTAATGGCAAGTAGCGTGTGCAATGCTAGAAGATGCAATTCACAAAAAAATCTTCAAAAGCAATGTGTTACATGGAAAGTCTTTTTCATTATATATTACACCTTTTGGATTATGTATGATCTGTTTCACTTGTTACTTTATTTTTTTAAAAAATCAGATCAATTTGCATTTGTTACAGAGCATTGCAGAAGATGGTTGATGACAACGGGAGTAATTGGGATGAATTACTTGACCCCATTTTGTTTTCTTTGTGGACTAAAGTACACACAACAACAAAAATTTCACCCTTTCGACTAATGTTTTGTGCTGACCCACTGTTTCCAGAAGAGGTCTCAGAGAATTACATGGTAAGTGTATGTTATTACCAGCACCTTTCATGTACACATGCCATTCAATGTGTCTTCATTTTACAAATATAATCCCTTCTCCATTTGTTTACAAAGATCCCAGATCTGAATACATTCAGGGAAGATTTCTGCAAACAGTACAGCATCAATATGAAATCGAGACATGACGCTGACATTGCACTGGCCCTAAGTAACATTTCTAAAGCACAAGAAAAACAACAAAAACATTATGCTAAAAGAAAGAATTCTAAATATAGGGAAATAACATTTGATGTTGGGGACTCTGTTCTGTTACTGAATGCTAGAAAGAGAACAAGAAAAGGAAGAGTACTGGAACCATACAGTACTGGACCATACAAAATTACAACCGTTGAGGGTAAGAGAGTGAAATTAGAAACCATCTCAGGGAAACAGTTAGGAACCATGTACAGTATCGCACACTTAAAACCATTCAAAGAGCCACCAACATTAGCTGCTGAAAGCACATCAGAGGGAAAAATCGGAACTGAAATTCCAGTTGGTGACACTGAACCAGAAACACCCACAGAAGAGATTAGAAAAGTGGATGGTACTGTATCTCACGACAGCACATTAAAAAACATAGAGGTCACAGCAATGGAAGAAGAGGAGGATATAGGGCAAGATGTTTCAAAGAATGATACAAGTGATGCTGATGACTTTTTTGATGACATGCTTATGGAGGAGGTGGAAAACAAGCAATGGATTCTGAAAGGTAATTGGTTACCGCACCTTTCTTAAACAGATTAACATAGTTCCATTTATGAAGTATGTTAAAGGTTTTCATGTACAAAGTGGCGGCATTCACAGTAGTAAAACCGAGAAAAAGGAAACTGTATTACCATGCATGTAATATGTGTTAATATTTTTTTCCTAGTCAAATTTGTAATGACTGACAAACACACAGAGAGACTGGAGGCCAAAGTGAGAAACATAAAATTGTATGGCTCCTCATTTCATTGCCTGAAACCGAGAAGCTGGATAAGTGATGATGTACGTTTAAGTAACACTAAACATGTATTTGTTAATGGGATTGATTCATCAAATATTATTGAAATTGTGCCTTTTCTTTCATCATGTGTTGTAGGTTATTGATGTATATTTGAGCTGTGTGAGTTGAGAAAGCAGATGGAAAAGTAGGCTACTTACTGTGATGGTACATGAAAGTATACATTGATTCAATAAGTAAACAATCATGTGAATATGTGGCACAACATATTGAAGTCCAAATATCCTTGAAATATCAACATAAACCTGAAATTGCAAAATTTCTGTATATTTACTGCTGCCAAACATTTACTGAAATTTATTTGGAGGTGCATATCGGACATACAATAGAGGGCCACATTAGTTTTGCTGTACAGTTCAGTGGGTCCATTAATTGAACACAAGTATGCGAACAGCTTAGTCGGTTTTTACATTAAGTAAGACAGAGTACATTGATTACAAATCATTTTGTTTTTATAGAACTCTCTTACACATACATATCTGATTTGTAACACTAAGGATCCCTTGCATGTCTGTCTATATTAAATTCATTATGTTCTTGACATGCCAGAATTATTAATGCATTAATAACTTTGTTGATTGTCAACAGGTACAAGCCATCTCATCAGTAGTTTCTACTGTCATTCTGTCAGGCAGAGCTCCACAAATGAAAGTGAAGGTAAATGCTAACACACTTTCATACATAGCATGAGCAAAGCACAATTTCATTCTGTGAGTTAAACACAGTGTGAAACAGCAAATACAATGGTGTGTTTGATGTGGAGGAGTAGTCTAATAGTAAGACATGTAATGAAACTGGGAAATATAGTATAATGTACATTTCATTGTTTGCTTCTCTGGAAACTATAATTGCATTTCTAATTTTTTTTTAAATAAACACAGAGTGAATTACTTCAAAATGATATATTATTGCTTCCTTACCACACACCAGGTCATTGGGTTCTTGCAGTAAGATGTTTTGTATTGTACTTCTGGATTATGGGCAATAAATGTGATAATAAATAAGAGATTTGTAACACAACTATGGTAGCAGTGATATAATTTCCCGTGTTGCGGGTTTTCAGTGAGTTCAGTGCATGCAAAGGAAAGTGGAATGTGAATGTTAAAAAATAAAATGCTACTGTCAAGTTATGTTGTGAGTGTAACTTGGAAGAATACATTCTGTAATGAATTAATGATTTCACAATATGCTTTTCTCTTGTGTGTTACTGAGACATTACAAATGAGAATATGTTAATTGCATAATGATTTTTGATAAATCATTCTAAAATGTTTGAAATAATCACATTACCAATATAATTTGTGAATATATTTAAACTTACAGATAGCCTCGATGGGGAAAAAGAAAAGAATTGTTAATAATTGACCCCTTGTGTGATGAGATGAGATATGAAAGAACATGCCTGAGGAATTGGAGGTGATTTATTAGATACTTACTTTTACAGTGGACATTAACTGTTCCATTGAAATTTTTTTAAAGGGAATGTAACAATAGTGAGACTAATATCTTCCTGTTAGCTACAAATAAAAATTGAAACAGCATGTACTTGTACTGAATATGCCTAGTAATGGACTTCGCGTGAACTTGTGTGATTTGATTCTGAGGAACGACTTCACAGAATGTGGACATGAAACAGTAGCATGTTATATGATTGAGAATGTGTTATTATCAACATGGGGCACAGCAAATCAGGTGATACATTGTGTATGAGTGAGACAATAATATGAAAGCAAGTGTGTATATATGTGAGCAATAAGTCATTTCGATCATTAATTAAAAAGAGAGAGAATGGATTTTTATCTATGTCCAGAAACTGGAGGGGGGGGAAACGGAAAACAAAGCTCATTTATGCAGTCTGCTAATGTACTCTCTAAAAATTTCAGAAACTTCATCAAACGATTAACTAGCAAATCCTCATCTGATTGGAAGAGTAAAATTGTTCAGCATCTCAGACAAAGTGATGGCCACAACTGCAGACCACTCATGTTAAAGGTATTGAATAACAAATTGCCATTATTATTTGTTATATATGAGTAATTATCCAGGGTGAAAATAAATGCCAGAGATTACCAGTGGGCACTGCACCGGCATCCTTACCAAGGTGTGTGGGGTGGGCTCTGGGCCCTCAGAAGGGATGGGGTCTCCAGCGGAAGGTGCGGTGCTGGGGGGCCAGATTCCACCAGCCAGCCCTTCCTCACAGCTGCTGCTGCAGTGACCAGGAGAACCAGGCCCTTGTAAATCACCGGAACCCAGGGCCCCTTTTGCTCCCCCACTGTTGGCAGCCCTGCCAGGAGCATCTAACAGCATTGCCAGACCCTATGGCAGGGCCGCTGATGGGGGGGAGGGAGAGGAGGGTGCTAAAGGGGGCAGCAACGTTAAAGCATAAAGCACTGCCACAGCGGAAGTGTAACGTCAGCCGTGTACGGGCCGGTACCAGTAGATGGTTCTTACCAGTATGCTGAACCGGTCCACTTTCACCTCTGGTAATTATGATGTTTATTCTAAATAACAGTGTTGTTAGTTTGCAGAAACGTATTTGCAGCACAAAGACATCAGTATGGTAGAAACAACACAAGAGGCTAATACTGCGTTTAGAAGACATATAGCAATTTTTCTAATGAAGGAGTCAGGTAATTACTTTCTATCATGTACTGTTATCTCATTAGGCACATGTGAACATAACATGAAGAGTGGAATTATGTCACATAGCAGACAGTTATCTTAATACCCCTAAAATGGGATATCTCACAGATTTGGTTCTGTAATGGTGACTATAAATCAATAATATCTTTAGGTACACAAACATTTGAATCGGGTGAATGATTGCTATTGATCGACCAGTTAAATGAAATTGGCATTTTTAGATACAGGTGCAGTAAAGTAAAAATTTGAGAAAATAGGACTCACAAAAAAGAAAGATATGTTCAAATCATTGACTGGATTAAAATACTGACATTAGTTAATAAATCAAGATTTGCATTTTCAGCGTTGGTCATAACGTATTTATCATTTCATAATGCTTTATATTTATTTTTAAGAAAACGTAGAGGACTACTGAATATACTGCAACCTTGTCAACTGTGAAAAGGAAAGTGAGGATTGCACGATGGTAAGAAACATAGAATTATATGAGAAATAAATGCCAAAAACTGCCTAAGGATCATAATTCTTGTAAAAATTCCACCTCAGTAAACATTTTCTTCATGCTGATAGGCATACATATGTTAGGTAATGCTGACATGTGGAAGGAATAGCATGAGTGAATGCAAAGTATCTGTAACATTATAACCTCTGTGATTTCATTTCTTAATTGTTACTTAACAAAGGTCCAGTGTGATACTTGCAAGAGGTGGGCACATATGCCATACATTACATACATTACAGAAGGAACCAATCAAGACTACCTAACTGATGAGAAGAAAGAGTACAACTGCAAAAAATGTGCATAGTTCACTTCTTTACCAAAAAAAAAAAAAAATGTTTAAATGCCTCTTGTTCAAAACATAATGCAACCAAAAGACATTTTAATGTATATACCAGATTATAATAATAAATGTTTTTTATTTTAAAAAAATATTCTCTGTATTTGTGTCCATGTGTATAATGCAAATTATAAAAGTAAATTAAAAAAATGAAAGTGTTATCACCTTGGGCTTAGGGCTATGCTCCATACCCCCAAACCTTACTTCCCTTTTCACGGATTCACACACAAAAAAGTGAAACAGCGCGCCTCAATCGTCCAATAGATCAATTTGGCACATTAGCCAGGAGGAAGCAGATCGGGAGTGTTTTTGACCACAAACCCCATACCTCCTGATTCACAACCCCATGGACCAGGCGGTAGCAAGTAGCCCAGATGGTCGAGTTGTATTGACACAAACTGCCCCTGCTCCCAATTCCCTACTTTGGGTGTACTGAGCATGCTCACCCGAACTGAGCATGCCCGGTAACCTTCACTGTTGCCACTGCCCTCTCTCTGCCCTCACTTCTACTTACAATTTGCTGCCCAGATGGTCACGTTGCGTGGCAGAAACTGCACCCAGTTGCAAAACGGGAGGGTTGCTATCCTGGGCGATTTCTAGCCGGAGAAGCCCCCCCAGCCGGGCACGGAGGGGTTAATGCCGGACTCCACCCAGCAAACACCCCGCTGGGGAAGCAGCAGCTGCTCAGCTCCCAGGCAGCAGCGTCTGGTCTCTCAGGAGCTGCCCGGGGTCTGATGCTCTCGGTTCTTTGTTCTCCCGGCTCCTGCCTCCTTCCTCCCGGCACCCACCGCTCCCAGCTGCTCCAGCCCCTTCCTGTGCCCTGCAAACTCCACCCGGGCTGCAGCGCTCGCCGGGGCTGTCTGCAGTGGCTGGGACTCGCCCCCCAGGACAGCCTCGGGCTCTGCTGAGCCGGGCCCCCAGGGGAGGGAGAGAGAGCGGGATGGGAGCGCTGGGGGCGGGCAGCGAAGTGATTCTGACAAGCGGCCCCTCCTCAGCCCATCTCTGCTCCCCTGCGTCTGTGGCTTCCAGCGCTGCTGGCCCCACTGACACCCCCCCCCCACCGCTCTGGCTCCCCTCAGGAGGGGCCGATCCAGCTCCAGGAGAGCACGTCCCCCCCCCCCCGAAACGGGACAGGGATCAAGTGTCCCAGCCAGAGGGAGAAGGGGGCAGACCAGGAGTTCTCAGACTGGGGGTTACAGCCCCTGGGGGGGGAGGTTATTATGTGGGGGTCACAAACCGCCCAGCTCTGCAGGTAGCAGCAGTGCTAGGGTTACCATACGTCCTTTTTTTCCCCAGACATGTCCGGCTTTTCGGCAGTCAAACCCCCGTCCGGGGGGAATTGCCAAAAACCCAAACATGTCTGGGAAAATGGCAGCTCTGCTTCTCCCTGACTCTTCAGCTCTGTTTAAGAGCCGGGCTGCCCGAGCGCTACCGGTTTCGGGCAGCCCCTGTGCCTCCGGACCCTGTGCCGCCGGAGCCCGGGACGGGAAGTGCCCGGCTGGGGGCGCAGGGGCCGGAGGGCAAGGGGAGGC